ATACCTCAGTACCGATACGACTGCTCCTTGGTCCCGAGATTGTGGAACAATCTACAAGAAGAAGTTGTAATAACCTTAGGCAGTTCAAAAATCGGATCAGCAAAATGTCTTTGTGATCCTCATAGTACCCGCCGTGCCTGTGTGGATGGTTCGGCGTAAAGAAATTCCATGAAATAGGGAGTTATTAAAATGTATCATGTAAATTCACATTCTTCTTTGCATCAATAAAATCAATCATTTAAATATCTGGTTATATGTGTAGATAGTAAACTACTGTATCACGAGCATTATGTATACATTATTTCAAAAATATCAAAAAAGATAAATTAGTTCTATAGAGTTTCCCATAATCTTAGTATGTATTCAAAAAAATTTGTATAACACCATCATTCTTCTACATATTTTATATTGATCAACTATTTTGTTCACAGCAAATGAAAACATATTTTCAAAATTACAAATTTTACAACATAAAGTTATGGGAATCATTCTAAATAAAAATAAATATGCTAGGATTTAGTCTATGTTAGAAGAACTACAGTGGTTGAATGTAAAAAATTTCATATGCTATTTAGTTCTCATTTTCATATTCAAATTGAACAACCATTTATTACCACTACATTTAAAAAACTTCACAAAATTAAATAGTTATTATCATAACTATGAAAACAGAGCCAGTATAGGTTTTTATCTGCAAAACTGTAATAGTAGCATAACTAGCAGATCTGTGTTTCAAAAGGCAATATTTGAATTCAATAAATTGAATAATGATATTAAACTTCTTCGAATTTAAAAGTTTAAGGTGAAATTAAAAAATCAAGTTATGAATACTGAAAATACATAGTGATGTAAATGAAAGTCGCTCACTTCCACCAGTCTGTTTATTGGCCATTTTGTCACTGGGTACACTCAGCAACCGTTGCAACGATTTTAATGGAAACGGAGTTATGCAATAAACTAGTATTATCTACTACATCTTCTCTTCCATTAGAATCGGTGAAATTACTCAGTGAGAAAATCGCCAATAGACAGACTGATGGGAGTGAGTGACTTGATCTTCATAATGAAAAAAATCATAGATTATCAAAAATTATTAATTTTCCATGCATTTACGTGGTAGTATTCTTGGTAATGATTATGCAGTTATTTTCACGCGAAATAATGTTGTATGCCGATTAGGAGGACCACGTACATATGTATGTAGCGTCAGGAGACCGCTTGATACGAATTTTTTATACTTTAAGAACCAATAAAATGTTCAAAAATCTAAAAGATCTTTTATGTACCAAATTTTATTTTCTACAAAACGTAGTAGTGTTTTATACTCGTAGGTTCTTAGTTTAGCCTTTATAACCGAAAATATCATTACATGTTCCTTTACCCTCAATTTTCTTGTAACCTGTTGACCAGTATGACAAGTTTTTATAAAAGCAAAATGATGGACAATTTAATTACCCCCAAAATCGTTTCTATATTACCTTTTTAAATAGGATAGATTGTCTTCGATATTTTCAATTAAACGCGTTTATCAAAATGACGGCAAATACTCCACCCCTGTCATGATGCCAATTTCAACTTATCATTAGGAAGCAATAGTGTAACGATATCACTAAAAAGTTACCGTCGCCCAAACTGTAAAATTTCCTTATACATAATCTCCCTATTTAATGGCATAGACTGTCAAAACATTAACAACTTCATGTTCCCCAAAACAGAAAATGACTTTCCTGAAAAAACTTTAGCAAATGTGATAACTAGATCATACACGTTACCATGTCATTGACTAAACATTTTTCAGTTTTGAAGACATGGTTTTTGAGCATTCTTTCTGGGCGCCCATTGCAAATGGTCTTATGTGAATGAATTTTGTATATAGTTAGAAGTTAGCTAGAGGAAAACGTGACAAAATTTTTAGGTAAAAAAATTAACTGTATCGCTAGAATCCGCTAATAATGTCTTAGACTAACTTAATGCCACATACATTCTCGTACAGTTATCGTAGCGTGCTTCTTACCAAACTCAATGTGAAGTGTTGCTAATGTTGGTAGAGGATAAGGTAAAGAGGTCGCTCTTCTTCCCATCATACCCCACGGATGTTCCTTTGACGAATGGTGCCAAGAGATGATGATGATTTGGCTGTTATTGAAGTACCATACTTTAGCTCTACTCTAGAATTACTTCTAGAGTGGCAATGACCTATTCCTTGTAACTTCCTGGCAGTTGGAGTCGACTGCAACTCTTTGCATACATCTCTGTGATGCAAGATTCTAAACGCAGGTCTTGAGGAAACCTAAAATCAAATGTAATATATCAGTTAAGAATGAAGTCAAATAGATTGGCTTGGATGGATGTGAAGTTGGCAGACAAAATGTTGCAGACAATTTGCCGAAGATACCCGAATGATTACTGGGGTCGACATCTTAAAACAGTCTCTGATTGAGAAAAATGAAGAGCTGAGGGCCTGCAGCAATAAATACATATTAGCAATAAAGGAATATTCAATGGACGAGGATAAATAAGCACACTCATAGGGAGAATCATTTTCCACCCCAACTAAATAATTCGAAAGGTTAAAACCCATCCCAAAATATTTCTTCCAATCAAATCATTTATAGATTATTGTATATTATATGGTATTGAAGTAATTATTGAGCTAAAACGCATATAGTGAGCCGATAAAAAATATAAATTACAGTTCATTTTCACCCTGAAATTTTCTGAAACGACAATTCGAGTATCTTTGTTAAATTGTTTGCTATATTTTGTCATCCAAGTTCACACCAGTTTGACTTGTACTTCCCAGGAATTAGTAAAAATCTTACACAAACGTAAAGAACTTAACAAATTTTTAAAAACGTTGATACATATTCCCAAAATAGGTTTGTATTTAAGAAACAATGACAAATGTGTGTTGCTGACAATACTGGTCGTCTCACAAGAAACAAAAAAAAATTGAAAAAAGAATGCATTCAACTTCCAAGTGTTTGAGCACACTAATAATGTTTGATCCCGTTGGAAACACTGTTTCGAGCAAGCTCGAAAATTGTCAGAAAAAACTAAAGCTTGAAGGGGTTCTGATGATTGTCTTTGCCTATAATAATTGATTAAAATTTAGTTGTATATCCAATATACTGCCCAAATGTTTAACTATTTGAATAATACAGTAAAAACTATCTAAAGAGTGGAACACAGATGTTCTTGATGGTGACGACTTCCATTCAATATTATCTATTTGCTTTACTTAACTTGCTTCAAAATACTGCTCAGCATCTTCAACTTGACTCTACTGACTGCTGTGTTTGGGGCAAAGAAGAGGATGAAGGTTCAAATGAAACCAAACATCTTTAAAATTCACAGAACAAACTGCATGAAAATTATAATTATGAAGAAGGTATGGATAAAACTAATTATTATTACTGGGCCTTCCAAATGTTTAATGATAATTATATTCTACATGCCTCAAGCTTGGTTAGTAATTGGTTACTTCTCAATTTAAGCACATAATGACATTGTAATTGTTTAGAGATGGAAAATGTAAAACTTAGCCAATCCTTTGCTTGTGGTAGATATTTGTATTAGCGAAAACTGACTGATGACTTCTTCAATTCACTGTGAATAGAGAGCTGTTTTCCTCTGTGAAGTGTGTAACCACCAAAAAAAGCTAATAGATCTATAGATGTCAGAGCTTTCTTCCAAACCTTGTGCATTCTTGTGCAAAAATGTAAAGGCATTTCTTAGAGTTGGGAAATCCATTTTATACACTTTCCTGTCAACCTTTAACTACATAGCTGCAGTACTAATGCTTTATTTCTGGAAAATTCAATAATGCAATACTATCACATTTAGTGATCATGAAAGGCTATCATATGAATTTTTGAATAAATTCCATGATGTTCAAATCAAATATTTTGAATCGGTGACACTAAGTTAACAAAGGTCTCTAATCGACGTTTAGAACACTGGTTTCGAGAACAACTCATCTATGACAGCAACTTGAGTTCAACAAATGCTAATTTGAGTAACATATGAAAGATGAATTAGTTCAATCACTGCAGATGAGAATTAACTTTAAGTGGAATCTTATATTTTATACTTACATACTGCCACATATTGCAATTATATTCACTGTACACTGTCGAAGTCATGTACATCACATAACTTTGAACATAACCTCTCTTCAGAAGCAGCATAGTCTGTAATAATGTTCTCAACTTATCAAATATCACTTGTTTTATATACATGCAACCAAACTTTCGTTCTACACATTTTAAACCTACACATTGAGGTCTGTGAACTAAGTGGCTCTCTCAGCTCTCTGCAACCAATAATACATATTTGGGAAGAGAAAAGTATCTCGTATCGTTCAGATATTCCCTCATAGATGGATCGCGCTTACAACGACCCGAGTGAGCAAACGTGGAACGACCGTGCCGAAGGGCATTTCATCGAATTCAAATGTTTTTATGTGTGAAGATCACTTCGATGTAAGTATAAATCTTGTATAAATTGACTTTATTACGTACTAAGCAGTTAAAAATACGTCAAAATAATACACGATTATCCTACCTACCTAACCTCTTAGTTTTATCTTGTAGCTATATAATGTTGGGTATGTTTTAACCCTTCTGTAAGTTTTCAGAGGTTTTTGGTTGTGTTGTTTAGCTACCCACATATAATAATAATAAATGTGTTTATTAGTCTCCTCGAATCTTCCATGCTGTCTTAAAATGACTAAAACATATTAGATAAGGAGATACTACTTTGCTTGCTAGATGACAGTAATGATGTTCAATTGCAGATGGAAAAAGACACCATTAACTACATGCAGTACAAAATGGGATTTAGTAAGAAGATACTTTTGACAGAGATGATGCTTTATCAACAAAATGTATTTGTCATGAGGATCGCGAAAGCCTACTTTCAGATGATGGGCTTGTTCGAGGAGCATTCCTCAAAAGGAAAATTATTGATTTTGTCAATGAATCCTTGGAAAGTCAAAATGCCACTGAAGCCCAAGCTGAAAACTTACAAAAAGACAATATGACACAAGAAATTATTGAATCTCAGGGTATGCAATCTATTTATTACATGTTTTATTATTAGGTTATCATAACTATTTACCTATTTACATTAAAACTAAGAAGTTAATTTGTAATGTTTGCCTTTTCAGAATTATCAAATACTCAAGACAGAGAAACTATGACCGACTCCATCATAACTGCAGAAAAATCTGTGCGAGTAAAATTAAAAGTGAATGTGCATCATAGGAGGAAATATGTAGAAACAAGAGGCCAAAAACAAGTGTTTGTACCTCTCCAATGAATATATCTACAACATCTTGTTCCACTTCACCCTTCAAGATTAAACCATGTCATCTTCGACCATCACACGCTGGAACTGTTGAAGCTGTTGAAGATGAAAAATCTGGTGATGGTATTTCCTGTTTTGAAAGTGGTTCACATTTATCACCTTTTGTAGTTACATCATCAGCATCCGATATTAATATGACAGAATACCAATGAGAGTATTGAACAATTAGAGTACCTCAAAATTTCAATGAATTTAATTCCCAAGACGTCTTTGATGTACGTTGGTATTCCAAAAGAATGTTATGTTTTAAATGAATTGTTACATAAACAAACCATAAAATTAGAACACATTTTGCTATGGTTGAAAAAAATTAGATTGAACAGTACATTTTCTGAACTAGAGGATGATTTTGGAATATCATTATCTTCTGCCAGTAAATTGTTTGTGGGAAACATACCAATAATAAGTAGTGTGTTAAGACCATTCATTATAAACTTAGATAAAACATTAGCAAAAAAGAATCTCCCTATATCATTTAGACAAAACTACCATAATGTCAGCAGCATCATAGATTGTTTAGAGATTGATATACAAAAACCATCAGACGCTCTCCGTCAGGCACTGACCTGGTCGGAGTACAAAAAGGGGAATACTGTGATGTACTTAAAATTTTGCACACCTAGGTTTGGTGATGTCACAATAGTAGAAAATTGTAACTTTCTAGATGGATTATGACTGGGAACTTGCATATTAGCTGACAGAGGCTTCAAACATCTTGAACAGATACTTCATAAACAGGGAATGAAACTGTTAAGGCCAACCAGTGTAAATACTGGTGCAATGTTGGCAAAAACTGAAGTTCGACAAACTAAAATAATGACTAGTTTGCGAATTCATATCGAAAGGGTAATAGGGCGTTTAAGAGAATTTCATATGTTAAAACATCATTCAGTAATAAATACTAACATCCTCATTATTATTGCATGTTCTCTAATAAATTTGCAAGATTCTCTTATTAAATAATGGGTTTTCACCTGTTATGACATACATTGTTACTTACAGGAAAACAATTCGGTTTTTTCATATTTATTTTTATATATATCATTTAATTTACCACTTATATAACTCAACACGTATAGAAGGGTGTTATACAACATGATTTTCTTCTTATTCACTAACAGTGTTACACAAAGTGGTGTGACAATACAGAAATAAACAAAATATGTGATAGACAAAATGTGTAAATAAATATAATTACTAAAAGATAAATAATGTAAATTCATGAATAAAATAATAATAAAGCAACAAATATATGTACTGTATGGTTTTTCATTTTATTATTATCACAGACTGGTGCTACAATACAAAATGGGCTATATATTTTTTTCCAGAAATATTAATTTGTCAACATAATCATTATCATAATTTACTAAAATAATGCATTTGCAATTGCGCCTGTGCCTTACATTTCTCTGAAAGAACATCATTTTTTAAATAATTGTCCTTAGCTTTTGCCTTGGTAGGGCATTTTATTTCAACAATCGCATCTTCCATTAAGCCATCAGGAGATGTTGCAATTATGGGATGGTCTTTGAAAACATAAAGTCCACATACAGTGATTTTTTGCCAATTTTCTACTAACTGTCTCTCAGACATCCAGCTCCAATGTTCTACCTCTATTCATTGCAACAGTATCAGGTATTTTTGCGCCCATTATAGTAGCCACCAATGAGCCATCGGGTGTATGACAAACACTTACTTCATGTGCCTTTGAAGCTGTGATACGACCTTATCGCATCTCATACCACAAGCTGCTCTTGTTCTGCATCCTTGTTGCTTCTTCGATTGTACTGATTGCAGCTTTATTGAATGTTGTGTTCATCACAACTTACAAGTTTGTCTATATCTGCTTTAATTTGTGGGGATTGATTCATTACAAAACAGTGCAATGAATACTGCATCACATTACTCTGTTTAAAATCATGCTGATATTTATTTTAGCAATTCGCAGTTGACAATTTTTCTTTTTTTTGCTTCTGAAATAAGTTCACTATAAACCGCTGATGTACTCGGTCTGTGAGGCACTTCTTTTTTAGACAGCTGGTGCAACATTGACGTCTTACCCATATAGACCCTGCAAGTAATTCATAAGTCCGCCGTTTGTTATGTTCACGAACCTCAGTGACGGGAAATACCAACTTTCATTCATAATTTTATCAAATTGACCCCAGGCTTGGAACAGCACAAGGCTCAAGGTCAACTACGGAATTCCCACCATAGGCGTATCACAATGAAGGCAATGAATGCAAAACATGAAATGTGTTTACACATTGTGCTTTCATTTTATGATTGTAAACAAAAATAGCAAAATATGTGTCTTATGTGGTAGGTACAAGACCCCAATATTTAAGAAATAAAACGCAGTAAATACCTACTTAAAAAAATGTTTATTTGATGGTTTACAAAATATTTTATATGGAGATCAATGAATGCAAAATAAAATTTTCTTGACATTCTTAATAGGAAATGTGCCAACAAAAAATAAACCTAACAATTGTAAATATGGGATATCACACTAGCACAAGTTATGTTAACAATAAGCAGTTGACAATGAACATTGCAGGGATTTGAAAATGTGCAAAATATCAAAATGTTTAAGCTGACTCGCATAAAAAGGTCAAACAATTTTTTAGTAACTCTGCCTTTTCCGCAGCAGCTAATCCAGCCAAAAAAAAGTAGCCAACAGGAATTTTCCAGGATCCATTAAGACATACCAACATAACTACAAGTACATCCTTTGCCTCAGGTAGCATATCTGAATCAATATTTGCCCCAATATCAACATACCCAGTGAATTTGGTTCCTGTCCACTCAATTTGATGTTGAATTGACATTTCATCTAAAACCAAATTGCACAGAACATGTGAACCCTTTGCATCTGCTTGTCGCTTTAGAATTTTTAGAGTTTCCAAGGCTTCCTGTGTGAACCCAGTAGAACCATTAACTGATTTATACCACTTACTGATTGTACTTAAATCAGGTAAAGATTTATTAACTGTGTTTCTAATAAAAGTATACGCCTTAGGTGGGTAAAACGCAAGGGTCACTGCAAAGCTTCTTAACACAGGATCATATTTTTGTGTTGATGGACCTTTAACATCCATTCAAATATTTGAGAGGCTGGACCCGACAGACAAGCCTGAAACAACAATAAAAGCAAATTTCAATATCTTTAATGTTGGTATGTTTGAGCAGCTTGGGAATAAAATACACTTGTAATCATGATACTTCAATATAGAACAACTTTCAAGAATGACATTTTTGCATTGTTTCTATATGGTAACTGTCACATTTTGCCATTGTCTCATGTTTGAAATTGGAATGTTTCACGATTTCAGGTATAGGTGATGTCCACTTCTGACATTCCATAGGTCTAAATAACTTGAAAATTAAAGTGACTCGAATTTTTCCAGTGTTTTAAGCTAACACCACCATAAACAGTTAAGCAAGAAAGAAAAACCTTAAACACACGGGAAAACATAAATAAATTGGATATCACCCATTGTTTGTATTTGGTGAGCTGTCATATTGTTTCGTGACTTTCGTCATAGGCTAGGTCAGTTTATTTGTATTTTTCCTCTTTCAGGAAGTTTTAGGTTCTTTTGTTGTTACTTAACTGTCCTATTGTGGTTTTTGTTTGTTTTTCCCTTACCTTGAGTTCACTTTCAGTTGAAGCATTCATATTAAACTTTTGATTTAGCATATCAAGGAATTCCTTCTGTGTTTGGATTCTATTTCTGAAATATCGGATCAAACGTTGTTTGTTTTGTAGTAACTTCCTCTGTCTCAAAATAGTGTCTTTCATGAGACGAAAATTCCGTTTTCTCTTCTCAGATGTAGAAAAGTCGCTACTGGTTAAGTCTCCCACATACCTCTTTCTAAAATAACAAGTCATTATGAATGTTGTGAATGATTAATTTTACAGATCAGTGTTCAGTGTGTTTATGTATTTATACAGTGGTTTTCAAAAGCCCCCTCTCCTACCTATTTTTTGACTGGGCCAAATTAGCAAATAAGAATTTGGCTAATGAAATCAATCTTCTTCTTTTTTAAAGATCTGTCTAAATATGCAGAGAAACATGGAACATTCTGTCATTTCTACGCGAAAATGTAGTACCTATATGTCTCAAATTTAAACTTACTTGCGAATATGGGAAGTCTCTGCGAAAAGCACTGTATATACTGAAGTTCATATACAGGGTGCCACAGCAACGTTTGAGGTCTGATGTTTTAGAATGTATGAGAGACGCATATAACAAAAACATCTAAGAAAGAGTGCACCAATCACCATGTTACCTAGCAGTGACAGAAACAATGGTTGCAGAGCCTTGTTGTAGCTTGCCATGCATTCTTTCTAACATAATGTGTTGTACGCTTCTCTGTCTTCCCTCTCTCTCATATACAGTGAGACTTCAGACATTGCTGGCCTGCTCTGTATATGAATATCGTCTATAGACATTGAATGAAGAATTTATATCTGATAGTATGGTTTTGTACCTCTTTCTTTTCTTCTTTGCTTGAACAGATTCAGTAAACACATCTGATTCATAACCATTTTCTGAGGCTGTCACTGTTTTAGGTTAGGCACTCCAAGTGTTAGAAGAACTTGATGATGGCCAATCTTCCACATTGAAACTAAAAAATATGAAATATATTTTATGCATAATCTTAAATATGTGACAATCTTGCTTGATTTACAATGACAGAAGGTCCAGATTGAACAAATGTTTCATGTTTCAGCTGTATCCTACAATATCAAAAAAAAAAACAAATTTCCTGATAAACAGTTGAAGATACCAGTCATATATAAAATCAAAAATGCAAACAGATATTGAAAAATAGCAATTTTAAATGGATGATAAACAGGGTGATTCAAAAGCAATATCAGTATTTTTTGGAGGACAGAATATAGACAGAATAAAATATTTACAGTACATTTTTGCATTGATACTCCTAGCCCAGTAGAAGCAATTATAATCTGACAACAAATAAAGTTTATCTATCTTTAGGCGCAGGCCAAGAACCACAGCTTGGTCAGAGTACCCAAATGCTCAAAAATCAACCAAAATTCAGAAATGTCTGAATAATTCTTTTTCCCTGATCTTGCTTTGACCTGGGGGCTCAAGCCACATTGAACTCAGGTCCCGAAATTCCTGTGGGTCCATCTACATAGAGTAAGGTGACCTTGGGCAAAATAATCTAAAAAACATTTTGTGAGTGTATAAAATTCTTACCATTGAGAGGAAACAACTGGCCAAATGGACTTGGAACAGCACCAGGTTTTAGCCAAGTTCTTCCACTAGCATCAGTAGTGAAATCGTCTTGCAAAAAATGCTTGGAGTATATTCTAACCATCTTTGTGGGATTGAGGTTCTAGCTCGGTAAGTTCCAAGAAAGTTATCCATTTCTCTCTCTGCTTTTCATTTGCAGGTAGTCTGGAATGAAAATTACACATTCAAGTAAGATGCATTGTACGAACATTTGTGATAAACGATATATTTATACAAACTCATGAGTGATATATGGGCACTCATAAAAAACAGCATTTTTTCCCTTACATTTAAGAGAGTTGTGAAAATCTTTCTAAACACTATTTTACATGTAAAAGAATATAAAATACGGAGTGGATCCGGATAATGACAAGCTCCACGCCAATGAGTAGAATCGTAAACATAACCTTACCTGAGAAAAGATATCCCTTTAATGCCTGCTTTTCCAGCCTCAACCTTACACAAAAAACACTTTTGTCTCACCATAATTTAATAAAAGTCTAAAAAACATAAGATAATCAAGCGCACGAGGATAAAAGCGATTTTCACATAAACTAATAGTGGCGGCAAAAACACGGAACACGGACAGATTCACAGGCGATGACTCACTCTTACTACAAGGCTACTACAAACAAGTGCAGCGTTGCCGTATACAGGGTGTCCTCAAAGTTGGGGTTTTCCTTTACACGACGTGTAGATCTTGAAAACATAATCAATTTTTCTTAGTACCATATACACCAATGTCTTAAGGGAACCGAGATAAAGGGCTCTGCAACATCAAAAATATCTGAATACCGTCCTGTAGCCGCGGCCCGCCGCGATATCTCAGACTGGTACCGGCTACTAGCTGAACCCGACGACAGAACTGGGTCGGGGGTCGGGGTCAGTGTGTCAGGTCAGTATGCAACCTTCAACCGACGGTAAAGGGTCACGCGTATAGAGGTAACGAACCCGTATAATCGATTGCGTTTCAAAAAAAAAATAATAATGGCACACTCATACACCAATAATGAACTCGTTGATATGTTGTTAATTTATGGCGAATGTCTTCAAAATGCTACAGAATCATCGCGAGTGTATGCACATCGTTTCCCTAGACGACATCATCCAAGGCCCCGCAGATTTGTGTACCTGGTCCAGAGAGTCAGGGATACGGGCCATTTGGAGGAATTTCGAGGTGGGCACAGTGGGAAGCCTAGACAACCACGAATGGTGCAAGTTGAGGAAGAACTACTGAATCGCGAAGACGAGAATCCCTCAACAAGCACTAGAGACGTGGCTAGAGAAGTGCAAGTATCAAAAACTAAAGTGTGGCAAACGTCCAACGTGTACAAAGCCCTTCAACCTGACGATTTTCCAGCAAGAGTGCGGTTTTGTGAGTGGTTGTTGCATCAACATGACAATAATCCGGACTTTTTGAAGTGCATATTGGTGACAGACGAACCTACGTTCACGCCTAATGGGGTGAATAGCTTTCGATTTCAGGCAGAGACGTACTTAGCCCTTCTCGTCAACTGGAGAGTGAGTACTTTTTCCTTTATTTTTTTTTTACTTGGTCGCCCTCGTTTCACTACACATTACCTTTGTTATTTCAAGGGTAGTTGTTTCTGAAAAGGAAAACCCCAACTTTGCGGACACCCTGTATAAACGTTAATCACAAATGTGTAGAACATACTCTGGTTTGTATTATACCTACATTTGTATGAAAATTCGCGTATTCTTCACTTGTTCTATAAATTATTATAGGTGTATAAGAATATACATGAATTTCTTCTAGAACAACCTTTCTGCAACAGAAATAGGTCATTTGGCTAGTTGTGGATACCATGGAACCAATGTCAAAAGGAACGTGGGGCCAACTTTTGGCAACATCGCAAAAAAGAGGGTTTGTTGTGGAGGAAGAACTTTTGTAAGCAGTCCAGGTCTATTTGGGTAAGACGTCAATGTGGTGCACCGTAATGTAACGTACTTCAAGTAGTCCAGACACTGCGCCGATGCACCCACATCAAGAAAGCAACTGCATGCTTGCAGCCTCCTGCTGAAGCAGCACAGTCATGGCTCTTACAACTAATAATTTCGCCTTTATTTTCATTTATAACACTGGACAACAAATTTTAGTTTTTTAATTGTATCTTGTGGAAAAAGTGCACTTCTTTGTTAATTTTGGGGCGCTGAATCCAAAAATGACAATGAAATAAAAAAATTTGTTGCGGTTTAGAAAAAAAACTTTTTATTTTTAAGGATATATTAAAAAAGTAACCAAGATTCATATACTTATAAGAATCACTATATGCGCTGTCTTTTTGCTGTTCTTTTATGGATCGTTTCTGGAGCATCTCTACCAAGAGTCCAACAGTAGTCTGCAAGCATGGAAGGATTCCACTTTCCCGGGTACCTTTTTTCCATTGTTGAAATATCCTGATGAAAACGTTCGCCGTGCTCGTCACTTACGGCTCCGCAATTGTCAGGAAAAAAGTCCAGGTGTGAGTGTAGGAAATGTATCTTAAGAGACATATTACATCTTTTGATACGATGACAGCATATTTTTGACAAGGGTTTTATAGTTGTCAGCTTTTCTATTTCCCAAGAAATTAGTGACCACCAGACGAAAATCATTCCAAACAGTTTTTTCAATACCTGTTAAAGTGTTTTCAAACTGTGTATCTTTCAAAATATTTCGAATCTGTGGCCCAACAAAAATACCTTCTTTAACCTTTGCCTCACTTAGTCTTGGAAATTTCTGACGCAGGTATTGAAAAGCTGACCCATCTCTATCTAATGCCTTGACAAAGTTTTTCATTAGGCCCAACTTGATATGCAGTGGTGGTAATAAAAATTTTTTCGAATCTACTAATGGCATTTTTTTGACCTGGCTCTAGGAATTGACGAACAGGCCAGTTTTGTCTGGTGTATGCAATCATTAAGAAGTCAGTAGTTGGTACAAAAAAATGGCTGCTGAAAATTGGCTGCTAACTTCAGGTGAAAGCCCGGAAGAATTGGCTGCTAGAATCTGGCGCCTAACTTCACACCGGTTCTTCTGGTTGTGGTTAAATATGTTACAAGTTGGTTATCCATGACTTTGAGTATGCAATTTCAAAATCAGCCGCTCTGTGTAACACAAAATATGCCAAAATCATGCTCCCGCACATGGAATGAAGAAAACATTATCTGGGAATAATGGTCGACCCGCGAACGACTAGAAGGCGTCTATCTGAAGAGTATAATACTGAATAAAATTTGTAAATTTTTGTGATCATTTTGTTCCAACAGAACAATCCTCGATAGAATTTTCAGGAACACAAAATTTTAGAATAAGGGAGGTATGTTATTGCCCTGACACTGTATTTCAAAAGTTTTTATTTTCTTCGCCACTGTAGATAAACGGTATCAATGGCAATTTGAAAAACTGTGAACCTAACTGAGAAAGTCAATAGATTTCTGCACAATTGGTTAAAACCATTTAGAATTCGTACGGGAATTGCAGAAGTTATGAAACTAGAGAGGAAAGTTGGTAGTTCAATATCCATTTGCCTCTAAAACTTCAACCACTGTATATATTGACGTGAATGAAAAACCAGTTTATAGAAAAAATGTGGTTAATTATAATGGAAAGCATTGCGGTCTGATTGGTAACTGAATTCACACCACAGGAGTACTAAAACATCATTTTCATTTACCCTGTACAAGTTAAACCAATTGTATCTAGAGTCTACCGGAGAAGTAAATAAAATCGTGGTAAAAGTAAAAAGTTATGAAGTTCCGTATAATAATAATAGTTAATAATAATATTAATAATCATACTGATAATACAATAATATGCATCGACAACCAAATATGACGAGAAACAGAATATCCCACAGAATGGCAAAATTCCATCATCACACCTATACTAAAAAATGGGGAAAGACCTACTAAACATAGTTGTCGTAACCATTCTTGGCGGGTCAAAGTAAGACTACCAGTATCCCTTTATATATATCCATCTCCTTCATGCATACACATGCAACCTACCCCTGAGTGTGAACGTTTGTTCGGTAATAAAGCACGTTTGTCAGTTGTGTTTCCGTCTCGAGAACTTTGTCATTACGTATGAGTGCCCTTCAATCATATTTGTCAGAATGTCAACTTGCTTGACATCGGCGTGCAATTTGAGTTGTGATGTTATCAATCTTCATTATAAAACTGTACATATTTCCAGGAAGAGAATAAAAACAGCTATCCCATGTTAAGATTAGTCTGCGCAGTGTTCCGCCCATGGTACGGAGACTCGATCTGTTTAATTATTTCATATGACATTGATGGCGTAACCGCCAAGAACAGTGACTACAACTATACCTCAAGTTATTGACCCATTTCTCTCATTTGCTGTCCAAGCAAGGTTCTTGAACGGATTGTTAACAAGCGGCTGGTCTGGCCACTCGAATCAAGTAACTTCTTATCAAACTACCAAATGGGCTATCGCAAAAACAGGTCGACTACCGATCAGCTTGTAATGCTCGAGTCTGCTGTACAAACTTCGTTTGCCCCCAGAAAACATATGGTATATAGATATATTTCTAGACCTCGAAAAAGCCTATGGCACCACCTGGAGACTTAGTATACTGGAACAGCTTAAGCAATGAGGAATCTGTGGAAATCTACTACGGTTTATTTCAAATTTTCTCGAAATAAGAACGTTTCAGGTCAGGGTGGAAAATAAATTATCCGAAGTCCGCAAACGAGAAAATGGAATTCCTCAAGGGTCGACTATCGGTGTGACCCTGTTCATAATCGCAGTTGATAGCTTATTAGAAATTCTTGGTAATGATGTAGGTAAATCAATGTATGTAGACGATCTCGTGGCCTTTCATTGTGCCAAAACTATGGAGGATATAGAGAGTACGTTGCAATCAATTCTTGATAGTTTGGTGCAAGCGGCTGAGAATAAGGGTTTCAAATTTTTACCCACAAAATCTTGTTACGTTCACTTTGGAGTGCAAATAAGGAAGTCCTAATTCGGATATACAAATCCCTAGTAATGTCTAAGATGGAGTGTGGAATGAGAACTTCTTCTGCAGCCAGAACATTTCACCTGCTTCGCGTCGAAAGAGTTCATCGAGACTGACTTAGGCTATACATTGGATAGTTTAGAACAAGCCTGCCTCTATCTTTAAATTGTGAAGCTGGCGTCCCTCCTCTAGAATACCGTATGCAACAGTTGACGATGAACTATGCTGTTGAACTATGGGCTCAGTCATCTCACCCAAACCACACTAAAGTCTTTAACGATGAGGAAAATGAGACATTTATGGCCAGACCTACAATAACAAGGCCCACTGGCTTGCGAATACATGAAGCCTTATAGCTAGCTATTCATAAAAAGAACACTTCCGATTCATTTTTAGCCTGTAACTTTAATCTGGCTAGGTGAAAAATGCAAAAAACCGCATTTTTGGCGTTCAAGATGTGAAATCAACCCCTTCGACGGGTCGGAAGAAGATGGGATATATGAGACCTTATATCTACCAATGAAAGGAACACTTTTGATTCATTTCTAGCATGTAACTTTATTTCTGGCTAGGTGAAAAATGCAAAAACACATGTTTCACGTTCAAGGGGTGAAATCCACCCCTTCGACGGGTCCGAAGAAATGACCCAATAGCTACGAGTAAAACACTATTCATTTATTTTTAGCTTGTAACTCTGTTTCTAACTAGGTGGGAGCCTATGTTCTGAGGATGTAAGCTACCCCTAAGTCAGGTACAAAAAAAAACAATAATCTGACTTTATCAGAGGTGTGAGCTTTTTTGAAAAGCTGTATACCTTTCTAGATATTTTTGCACTAAGGGTGAAACTACCCTTTTTGAGGCGGTCTGTTGCTAAAATTAGTTACAAATACCATGCAATCATTGAAAAGTTAGTTGTTGCTACAAAAAAAATGGCTGCTGGAAATTGGCTGCTAACTTCACGCGAATGCAGGGAAGAATTGGCTGCTAACTTCACACCGGTCATTTTTGTGTTTTGTCTTACCAAGTTATTTGTATATCTTTTTTATCTATGGAAACCTAAGCTACTCAACTTACACCTAAATCACCCAGATCTAGCCTGTGGTGAAAGTAGCAAGTGGCGATATGGGCAGGAGGTAAGCGGCTAATGACCTTTGCAGTTGATGCCGCTGTGAGCTTTAAAAAAATAATAATGACTAATAAATAATAATAATAGCCTCAGGAGTAAAGGTAAATTAACTATGAATTGGTCATCTTAGAAGACATTCAGCATGCATAAACTAATACGCAAATACAAATCATTTTTGATTTGATAATAACCATATTTTTTGTTTGGTGTATTGTTTCAGCGTGGAAAGGGACCGTCTGCGTGAGCGGGAACGGCAGGCGCGTGCCCAAATGTCATCGCAGGTGGCCGCACAAGAGCATGAGGTTGTCGGAGGGCCGTCGCCTGGCGGAAACTATCTCTTCCAAGAACCGATTAGGGTGAGCCAGAAATAAATATATATATCAATCTCTGTATTATTCAAAAAGGCAGCCACATGACCAATCACATGTTGCCAAGTAGTTTGTAATTATATATATATATATTTACATCTCCACGTGGATAGGTCCTCCTTTCATAAACCAGCAATAAGTCACCTACCAGAAATACTGAATATATATCAAATTTAATTCGTGAATATCCGACACCAAGACGCATTGATCCAAGATCAGTTAAAAAAACTGTACATTAACATTTCGGATTTCCATACAAAGTCCGCTATATAGGTCTCCCTTTCAAAAACAGTATGATGTGTCCTCTACCGGAATACCCTCCAGATAACAAAGCGGCATTAGGTCCTCCAAAATACTCAGATTATCTAAACACCAGTGGATAAGTCCTCCGTGCAGTGGTGCCAAGTTTCACTTATTTCTCTTAAGATAATACAATTGAAGTCTCCTAACTCGGGCTTGTATTATTCTATTACCTTCCAGGGATCTAATGCTAAAAGGTTCATGCATCATTCGAATCGCCTTTCGCTAACAAATGTTTAAACTTTTTTGTTATAGATAAAATAAAAAAAATGATTTCCGAGAATATTCAAGGTTTTTTGTGCATGCCATAACAGCAACCTAAAGCAGATATTTTATGATTACAATAATTCCTGTCAATAGGCACGGTAAGTAAAGGCATCTGTCTTAAATCGTAAAACAAAAATAACATCTTTCATTTTATTCCATGGAATATTGGATTTGAGCATTACATTCGAACAAATATCATCGCTGCATTACGGTACTCCCGGTCACGTCCGCTCGTGTTACTTGACGGCGAACTGGGCCGTAGCAGACATAGGAATATGAAAATGCAATCCTCTAGCAAAACAATTCTAATGAATGCCTAATACAGCGATGCCAATATTAAGGAGGACCTAAAAGCTACGATCTAGATACTGAATACCCGGCAGATGACCTATCCACTGTAGACTTGATTGAAAATATATGGGCTGAATACCCGCGCGACTGTGAGTCCACCAAATCGGCGCGGCAAAGCCCGGAACTACGGTACCCAAATTTAACAAAAAACACGATCTGGCTCATCCATCTGGAATTTTGCCGGGTGACAAAGGGGAGCCTCTCTGGCTGACTGGTGGAATTTGCGATAGGTCCTCCATATACGAAGGACCTAGCGCAACTGAAGACCTATCGACTCTAAAAAGCCAATAAGTGGAGGACCTAACCATCGGAATCTGTATATATATATATATATATATATATATATATATATTTGTTTTACGATTTAAGACAGATGCCTTTACTTACCGCGTCTATTGGCAGCAATTATTGTAATCATAAAAAAATCTGCTTTAGGTTGCTGTTATGCCATGCACAAAGAACCTTGAATATTCTCGGAAATCGGTGGAATAACAGCAGAGTGGTTAACAAACGAAGAAAAAAATGGTCAAACTTCGCTTCCGGATGTTTCAGACATTCCTCCAAGAAAATTTTAGGGCTGTAAATTTTGGTGGCGGGGGTTACGGGCGGCGGAGCTAGTATTAAACAACGACAAAAAATCGTTTTAAGTATTTCTGAATATTTTAGAGCTTTCTAATCGCTTTCCGAATAATTTTTGGGGGTAGAAGGGCTGAGGCAATGAGGAGAATCTGGAACATCAATCACCCCGCTTCAGAGGTAGTACTTATCGGTGATTTTAATGCCCATAATGAGCTTTGGTTGAGCTCAAACAAGACCGATGTAGCAGGTCGTGCAGTCGAAGCGCTCGCTCCTACTCAAGAGCTGACCCAGCTAGTGACAAGCCCTACTTTTTCCCCCGCGTCTCGTCACACGTCATTATCCTGCTGGATCTCTTTCTGGCCATGCATCCTGTCCCTGTCCCCCTTGGGTAACTCAGACCACGGTGTTGTGGAGGTTAGGTTTCGGTCACAACCCGCTGTGGCAGCAGAAACTCGTACAGGCCGCAAGACTCTAACTTTCCTTGGAGAGATGTCTGTTCCACTGACGCGGGTGCGTCGGCTGTCTGTTCTTCGATAACAGAAATTATCCACGTCGGAATGGAGTGACAGTGAAAGTGCCTAAACCAGGGTCCAATGGCTGGTTTAACAAATCGTGTGACACTGCTCGCCAGCAGAAGATCAAGGCACACAGAACCTTCTTACAAAACCCCACTGTTATAAATGAGGTGATGGAGAGGTGCATAAATCGCGAGCTTCTGGACTACCTCGAACGCCACAGCTTGATTAGCGACAGGCAGTATGGTTTCCGGCACCAACGATCCACAGGGGACCTCCTAGCTTACGTCACGCAATTGTGAAGTGAACTCATCCAGTCTTATGGTGAGGCTCATGTCGTTGCTCTTGACATCACGAAAGCGTTCGATCAGCTGTGGCACGCTGCCCTCTTAAGCAAACTTCCATCCTATGGCCTCCCAGAAAAGCTTTGCAGATGGGTGGCTGACTTTATCTCTGGCCGCAAGATATCCTTAGTAATTGACGGGTTCTCCTCTTCGCTGATGACAGCACTCTACATGCAGGAATTCAGAGTGACAAGCCGATCTCTGCCGCTGAGCTGGAAAAAAGAAGACTAGCGAGGACTCCCTCTCTGACAAGAGACCTAGAGGCTATCACTGCTTGGGGACGCAACAATCTTGTACAGTTCAGTGCTTCCACAACACAGTACTTTGACGAACCAAAAAGCGTCCTAGCGCTCATCCGGTTTCGATGGATGGCCGAGTTCTGCCAAAGAGCCATCCATTTCGGCTGGTCGGGCCCAGATCACCGAGGACCTGATCTGGCACGAACACGTCTCGTCAATAGCTGCAGCTGCTGGGAAAAAGCTAGGCTATTTGTTTAGGACTAAGAAGTACTTTTCTCAGCACGATCTTCCCATTCTATACAAGGCCCAGATAAGGCCTAGCCTCGAGTATTGCTCACACGTTTGGGGTGCTGCCGCCCCGACTACATTTTCCATGCTCGATGCTGTCCAGAGGAGGGCGGTCCGACTGATCGATGACTCTTCTCTAAAAGACAGTCTCGGGACTCTTTCGCACCGGCGGGCCATCGGCGATCTAGCTCTTTTCTACCGCTATACTAACGGGCTTTGCTCCGCAGAGCTCTCTTCCATAATACCACCGCGCGATGTGCCTGCCAGACAGACCCGCCCGACTTTGGCGTCCCATCCTAACCGTGTCGAACTTCGTACATCCAAAACTGGCCGATACGAACGCTCCTTTGTCCCGAGGGTGTCGAGATTGTGGATCAATCTACAATAGTAGTTCTACTAACCTTAGGCGGTTCAAAAATCGTATTTGCAAAATTCCTTTGGGATCATCATAGCAGCCATAGTGTTCCGGCATTTAGGCTTCTGCCTGCGCGGCTGCTTCGATATAAAAAACAAAAAAAAAACATTTGATATTCGTTATCCTCCGGAATCTTCAGACATACATGAGACATCTGAATTCAAAATAGAAAATTAGGATAAGGGCCTTATCTCATTTTATATCTATAACACGGCTCATCAAAGTATGGCAAATCGTCGGCTTACTTTCAAAACCTCCTAAGTCCGATTTTCACCACTTCTGAGGTTTTGGCACAGTTGGCTTTTAAAAATTGTAACTCAACAGCGTACAAAAGCTCCTATCCGTATGATTATTATATCGCCATCTATTAGCCGATGATTAAACCTTCTATATCGGTACACTCCGAAACATTACGCAAATGCTTCTAAGCCGGCATTTTAAATGCAGCCACCGTTTTCGCATGTGCGTTCCTGGTTTTTAGGTTATATCAGTGTATAAAATACGATTAAATGGTGCAATAGCGCCTGGATTCGAAAATAGTAAGTAATTCATCACTATTAGCTGTAGCCAGTAGTATTTTATTTGATAAAACTCTATCAATTGCACAGAAACGACTTAAGAGGTTTTGATTCACTCTCGTTCATTATAAATAGCATTGAGAATCGCACATACACGGTTTTGATTAACATCATTCGCCTTCCATTTAGTATGAGCTAACTTATCGAACAAATCTATAAATCTATGTTTTCTTTGAAATCTTGAAACACTGTTGTGTGGCGTGGAAGAAATTATACTGAATTTCAAATTACAGGAGGAACAAATTAAATCGGCATTGTACTATTACTGTAGCTTTTCCCTTTCACGATGAATCGGCGTCTGACCAGAGGTCAGCTTATGGTAGCTCTAGCTTCAAATTTGAATGAAACTGGTGATACAGCTGACTATGTAGATCAAAATGATGAACTTCATACGGAAATAGAAGAAGCTATTAAAGTTTTAACTGATGACTGTGGGGAACAAAATGAGGAATTATTGCTATTAAACGATGTCACTGGTAAGTTTATACTGAACTATAATCTAGTAATGTTATTAATGTGGATTGGTCGTAGGTACTACAGACATTGCATTTCTCAATGCTGACATAACAGTTGACGAAACGAGTATCATCCAAGATGGTATGAAGCAATATGAAGATACTGCTGAGCTTGAAAGTGTAGGCACTCCTTTGGATAACAAACAGCTACGTAATATTGACCCAAACTACCTACCAAATGAAAGCGAATACGAAGATTTCGAAAACGAATGTCTCAACGGAACTTTATCTCAGGAACGGAACATTTTGGGTAAAGAAAATATTCCAGAAAACGATGAGTCTTTGATGGAAAGTATTGAAGAGCACCACGTTGAGATCAAAAGAAACAGGAAACGAACACCTGATGCTATAAGTTGGAAAAGACAAGAGTGTAAGCTTAAACGTGAAAAGGGTGAAGCATATGATGGGCTAAGAAAAACCGCGGATGGAAAATGGACGTTTGATATAGAGAAACCACCTCGTCAAATAGAACAATTTTCCCCCTGAAGGGAAGAAAATTGATATTTCGGGTCTTGAGGATTTTTGAGGAGTTTCCAGCCTGACTGGACGTAGTTATGCTTGTCTGTCTTAGATCCATGTTGTGGCCAGAAAATTATG